ACACACACACACACACACACACACACACACACACACACACACACACACACACACACACACACACACACACACTCTGACTCTGGATAGGTCTAAGCATCAGTTCCAAGCTCTGTGATTGGCTCTCAGCGCTGTCAGTCACGCCCCTCAGCTACTCGAGGTGACCTTAGTAGGCGATTAAAAAGTCATGCAGCGTTCTTAAAGAGACACCGCTGCTGCTGCACAGTCAGACGAAATGACAGACAGGAAGTTGTTTTCAAAATAAAATCCCCCCACCCTCTCACACACACCAAAAAACACAAAAAGACAACTTCTTCTTCTTCTTCTTCTTCTTCTTCTTCTTCTTCTTCTTTAAAGTTGTTAAAGCTGAAAGACGCATTCAAGCGACACGAGGACGAGAGGCCGCGTGTTTTAGCCACGTCAGACCATTAGCTTGACCCCAGACAAACTGGGTCTGGCTGCTGCTGATGGACGAGCGACCGTGAGGGCCGCGTCTGTCTCTGCGTGAGGAACAAGGAAGCGATCACTTTCAAATGTCAGATTTAAGATGTAAAAACAAACGAGGCGTGAACGACCTGCCAACACCTGCAGTCAGACGCAGAAACGAGCCTCATTCAGCTCATCCTGTGCTGCTGGTTTCAGACATTGTCCTGTCTATAACCCGCAGTCAGCTGAGACTGAAGACGTCACCTGATGATGATGAAACGTTTCTGAAATGTCCAGATGAACAGAATCAACCTTCTGGGATTTACTGGCCTGGATGATCGAGCGTTTTTAATTCCAGACAAACAAAAGCTGTAAGGAGACATTTTAGTGAGAAACTTTAATGTTCAGTTATTACAAAACAAACATATAAACAAGAAAACACTCAGTTATTTCCTAAAATGTAGTGTTTGTTTTGTTTTTGGATTTCAAATATTGTATAACAGCCTGTCTCAGATGCAGCTGGTGCTCACGGCCTGGGAAACAGAGCGATTCTGAAATGAGCCCAAAAGCTGAGGACATGACTTTTACACGGGGTGAGGTCTGTCTGGACTTTTGCTTGATTAGGATTTTAATGAAATTGAGTGAAGCAATGAGTGTGGAGCTGCTTGTTTTGGAGTCCCTCTGTGTGAGGACAGGGTGAGGACAGGCCAAATATTCTGGATTTAAAAACCCTGGAAACACCCTCTTCTTTCACAGTGAATAAAATAACTGTTTGTGTGGGAATATTTTCAGCACAGTTTCAGTCCTCACAGAAAAATCCAGGATAATCAATGATTTTTAAGAACGTATTAAGAAAACAGGGTGTGGCTTTGCCATGTAAAGCTTTGCTTTCATTTTCTCTGTTCTTGCACAGCAGCTTTGTGCTAAGTGGCTTCCAGGTGGCTCCTTCCTGGACCACAGGAAGCACCTGTCAGGTCAGCCAGAGGCCTCAGAGTTAGGGTTAGGCCCTGAGCCCCGCCTCCAGGTTCAGGACTCAGGTGGTATTAAAAATTTAAAGCAGGTGATACAAAACCTCCATGGATAACGCCCCCCTTGGTAACAACTTTTTATAGTGTTTTATAACCACCTTGACTTCATTAAGGATTAAATTAGGGGCGTGGCCTCTTTGACTGACAGGTGGACGGTGACACAGGTGGCTGACGCTGCCAGCTGTCCGCTGGGCTTCACTCCAGTTAAATGAACTGGACCAATGAGACGGCTGCTGTACATGCACAGTACAGCAGCCTGACAGGCGGGCGATCTTTCCTTCACTCTGCTGCTTTTCTGTGTTTCCAGAAACTTCCACGTCTGGCCAGCCGAGCCTTCAGCAGCTCAGCCAGACAGCTGAAGAACAAAGTCCCCGAATCCCAGAAAATCTTCCAGGTAAGAACGATCGTCACCCGTCCAGCCGGCCTCAGGTGTTTCACACGTGTAACCCGAGCACGTGTGTTTCCTGCACTTACAGGAGGACAACGGGCTGCCGGTCCACATCAAAGGAGGAACCGGCGATGTTCTGCTCTACCGGGCAACCATGACGCTAACCATCGCAGGTGAGGAACGCTGCAGCAGGTGCATTTCTGTGGTGCAGGAGGACAAAGCTCGCATTAGTGACAGAAACAAAGCATGTGTGCAAACAGCTCAGACCTTTACAGATGTTTCGTCTGTGAGTGTTAGCAGGGTGCAACATGAGCATCAGACAGCATTCAGGGTCACAGCACAGCACACGATCACCAACAAGGATACTAAAAGATAGTAAGACGGTTGTAGCTGATATGAGAGCAGGTGGGTCAAATGCTCTGGCTCAGGAAGGTGAAGAGTGTGAAGCTAATAAAGTTTAAAGAGGAGGTGCAGATGAAGAAGGGCTGAAAGATGCGAGCGTGCCACGGTGAGAAGTAAAGTGTTGGTTTGTGTTCTGTCCGCAGGAACCTGTTACTCTCTGTACTGGCTCCTCATCGCCTCATTCCCTCAGAAGAAGGAGTAGAGGAGGAAGAGGAGGATAAGAGCCTCTGGCTCGGTCTAACACTAATATATGTTGTGTGTAACTCTGCTTGATTTGTCTCCACATATCTGTCCTTCATCAAAGATCAAATAAAGAAAATATCCAGAGTTCTTCATTTGTGTGTCTGTGCAGAGAAAGTAGGGACTTGTTTTCACAGCTAGTCCTTTCTGTCATTAGCTGATGATGACGATGGACAGCGAGTCAGTGAAGGGAATGTCTCCATGCTAAACGGCTTAGTTCAGACGTCACTTTATCGCTGTGGGAGGAGATTCTGCAGATGCTTCCACATTAACCAGTTTGATCTCCTACCACAAGATCTGTCTGCGCTTCTTGGACTGTAGTTACTGACCCGTTAATCGTGAGCCGGCACGGCACAGCGTCATGCGTTCAGCGTGAGGACTGCTCTGACTGCTCAGACTCAGCGACACCGCTCCACCTGACGGAGGACGGACACTCTCTGAGGAACTTCACGTTCTGAGGGTCTGCGAGGAGTGGAGAGGCCGTCCACGTCCACGGTGAAGGACTATCACAGTGGTGGAGGCCTACGACATCAGCTTTCAACCACCTGTAGATGAGATTCCTTCCCAGAAACTTCAACCCTCAGTTCTCCTCAATCCATGCGAGCCTTAATGGCTCACACGATCAGCAGGCTGACCATCGTTCATGCTGAACAGCACCTCAGAATTCTCCCTTATGAAATAAATCTGAACTTCTGAAACCTTTAATTAACTTTAGCTGCTTTGGTCGCTGTGTGATGGTGTCAGCGTTATCCGACCAAACGGTTACCGAAGCCTCTGATGTCTCGTTAAAAGAGTCATCGTCATCATCGGTGACGGACACTTCCTTTACGTTAGCGACAGACGTGTTAAAAGTTAGCTGATTGTTTCCAGGTGTACTCTGTGTTTGATCAGGCGTGATCACAGTTCACTGTCGTGTCTGTTTTTAACACTGGGAGATCACAGACGTCCAATCCTGATTCTCTCAGTCGTTTGTACTGCAGATGGTCAAACACTCAAAGTCTTCACTGTTTTTGGTTAAGGCCACCATCATGTGTTGTCGGCAGTACCGTGCTAATTCAAAGGTAATGAGGTCGTTACCCAATCCTGATGATTACAGCGCCAGGCCTGGGCTGTGCATCGGGTTTATTGTCCTTCCAACCATGTGCAGTGGTTCACAGTCCTCCAAGACCATGGTGCTCCGGTCAATCAACACAGGACTACATGAAAAATTGCAAAAAACAAAACAAAAATGCAACTCCAGACACAATAGAAGTGTGTGTCTGTGTGTGTTCAGCAGTGTGTGTTGATGGCCTGGGGGAAGAGGCTGGTCCACAGTCTGGCAGTGAGGCCTCGGGTACCTTTCCAGAAGGCAGCAGGGTGAAGAATGATAATAATGGATTGCATTTGTGTAGAGCTTTACAATACCACTATTCATTCACTCTCACATCCACACACTGGTGGAGGCAGCTACAGGTGTAGCCACAGCTGCCCTGGGGCAGACTGACAGAAGCGAGGCTGCCATATCGCACCATCGGCCCCTCTGGCCAACACCAGTAGGTGGCAGGTGAAGTGTCTTGCCCAAGGACACAACGACCAGGACAGAGAGCCCGGGGATCGAACCGGCGACCTTCCGGTTACAGATGTGCCCGTAGCTCAGGGGGTTGAAGAGAGTGTGTGAGGGGTGTGTGGGGTCCCCCACGATGCTGGTGGCTTTGCAGATGCAGCAGGTGTGACAGGTGTCTGTGATGGAGGGAAGAGAGGCTCCAATGAGCCTCTCAGCTGCTCTCACTAACAGTTGTAGAGCATTGTGATCTGATACGGTGCAGTTACCATCCAGACAGTGATGCAGCTGCTCAGGATGCTCTCGATAGTCCCTCTGTAGATGGTGGTGAGAATGGATGGAGGGAGATGGGCTTTCCCCAGCTTCCATAGGAAGTAGAGACGCTGCTGGGTCTTCTTAGTTATGGAGCTGGTGTTGAGGGGCCAGGTGGACACCAAGGAATCTGAAGCTCTTGATAACCTCCACAGAGGATCCACGATGTTCAGTGGGCAGTGATCTCTCCGTGCTCTGAAGTCAACAATCATCTCTTTTGTTTTGTCCACAATCAGAGACAGGTTGTTGACTCGACACCAGTCCGTTAGCTGTTGCACCGCCTCTCTGTTTGCTGACTCGTCATTCTTGCTGATGAGATCCACCACAGTCGCGTCATCGGCGAATTTGATGATGTGGTTCAAACTGTGCATCGCTGCACAGTCGTGGGTCATCAGAGTGAACAGCAGTGGGCACACAGCCCTGAGGGGCTCCAGGGCTCAGTGTGGTGGTGTTGGAGGTGCTGCTACCGAGCCAGACTGTCTGAGGCCTCTCCGTCAGCAAGTCCAGGATCCAGCTGCAGAGGGAGGTGTTCAGGCCCAGCAGGCTCAGGTTTCCAATCAGGAGGAAATCAGCTGTGTGGGATCAAGGACACATCTAAAACCTGCAGGACTGGAGCCCTGTCATTACAGATTATAGATTATAGATCATGGGTTAGAGATTATAGGCACAAGAAAGAAATTGGAGAAAAAGGAGAAAAGACAACCTGGTGCGCTCAACTCCAAACGATTAAACAGCTGAAATAATGAGATGCTGTCACAGACACGTCTGTTGATCATTAGAAAACATGCAGGTTTGGCTGAACTTCAGGCCTCAGCTCTGCTCACACTGCCAAAGATGTGTTATTCAGTGTCAACACAAGAAAACATTCTAATGAAGGAATCAAACAGACAAACACATGAACAGAAAGCAGCACAGACACATGTTCAGCAGTTTATTACGTGTGTTAACTTCATTAGCTAACAGATGTTTGCACATCTGAATAACAGGATGTCAGCATGCTTGTAGTGCCAGATGTTGTGCTGCAGCTGTTCCAGAGCACAGAGGAATAAAAGCTGAGCAATGGCGCCACACAGTGGTGATTACACCTCAGTGACCGCTGGGTAGCCCGGATGCTTTTGTTCTTCTTCATGTCAGAATGCAGCTTCAACATTGATTCAGACGTGACTTACAGAGTATTGATCAGTGAGCATGTGATCAGTTGTGTCATACACAGCGTGTCCTGTTTGTCTTATTATATGTTTTACTCCAGACTCTCTGCAGCCCTCAGCACTCAGTGACTGTGAGGGGCCTAAACCCTCACCCTGTGCAGACGCTTGGTGGGAGGTGTCTGTGCTGATGTGTTTGGTTTTCTGTTTCATGGACAGACATCTCCGGCCAAAGCTTTGCAAACCTCAGCTGTGCTGCCACAGAGAAGAAGTTTTCTCCTGCAACACTTCAAAAGCAGCCATAGTAGTACAGTCCTTTCTGTCTGTGCTGTCATGAACTTTGACCTGCCACCTGAGACCTGGGGAGCTAGAGCAGCGTTGTTCAGACAGCAGGAGGCCCAGCAGGAGCTGAAGGGTGACTTTGAACAAAGATTCATGCAAAGCTCCTCTAGTCGAGTGTGAAACGAGCAGCGGGGGTGTGTGTGCGTGTGTGTGTGCGTTTGTGTGTGTGTGCACGTG